ACACACACACATGGTTTTGTCACCATTTCCATAGCCCCACCAAAAATATTTTCCACCAGCCGCCACTGCTGTTAATTACTGTTGAGTAAATTTATATTTCAGAAAACTTGTTTTGCCTTGGGCATAGCAATGAGGATGAGTGACAGGCCACTTAGCCCCCTTGAACTTCTAGTGCAATAAAAGCAACTGTACCCAAAGAAGGAATGTGAGGTTTGTGCTTTGTTACTGTTTGGCATTTTAAAGGTCCTCAAGAGACCTTCACACTTGGCATGCTTTCTTTGAGAGACCCTTGGTGTCTGGAGGTTAAGTCAAGATGAGGACCTTGTTGATAAGTCCCATGGAAAAGATAAAAAACAAATGGTGATATATAGAGCCTTTGCAGAACTCGCTCATTTGCTCTGTGCACACTTCCACTAAGGATCAGAGTAGACTGTTACTGCTTTAAATCTTAAGACTAACTTTTACAAAACGGCTTTTCCTAACATCTATGGACTATCCTAAGGTGGTCATTTCCCCATGTGTAAAGTATAATACAAGAACAATAAGTACAAGAATTTTTGAAATACTGATTTTAAGGCATTTTGATAAGAATAATGGACCTATTTTGGGTTAATGAATGAAATATTTTAAGTCTTTTAAGCAGGAACACAGGATTCGGGGTTTATGTGTATGTGTACAAAATAGGAAAAAAAAGTTTTCTTAGAGTCCAAGGTGATTTATTTAAATGTTTTGACCTGTCGGTCTAAAATACATATATTCAATTTAATGATTTGAAACAACTTAAAGCAGAACATCTCCACATGGAGAGGTTAAAAAAACCCATGTAATGGCATTTTTGGATGAAAGATTACATCAACAATTACAATTAATCGACTATATGACTAATCGATTTGAACACGTATCATAGCAGCTCTGTTCTTATCATTTCACAAGGGTAACTTCAATTGCTTTTGTTTCAATAAATGAAACAATGATTGTTATTGAACAGTGTGGACCAAGATTTAGTCAACATTGTTTGGTCTAGGACCTGGTGGCGTGATTATACATGATTCTGAATGATGTATCACATACTGTATAAAGTGATAAACGTTTATGCATGGTGTGCCATGACTGATTCTCACATCAGAAATTGCATGTTGTTATTTAATACAAACATGACATCACTATACAATTATAGTACTAAAAGACAACTTGGCAAGTGCACTTTAGCTCAGGTAGAAAGAGTAGAATCAGGTAGAAAGCAATAAACACATGCTCACAAAAAAAAGTGCTTTTGTAGAATTCCTGGTATGACATATTTTCCCAACCACACTATTACTCATAGGACAGGTTAATAGGGTAATCTGTATTTTTTGAGAGTCTTGAAATTGGTTTTGCTTCAGGTAAAGAAAATGCATCTTCTGGTGTTCAGTCTCGCTTTCAAATCCTTCAATACCATGTCCAAATAGGATTAGTCACACCCAATATATCACTCTCCTCTTTTTCCACGAGGAGCATGGTGCTTTTGCAACAGGCAAACTTTGTCATATCTAGAGGTCCCCCTTGTGGCTACAACATCTTGCATTCTGTTAAATATCCAGCCCCATAGTCATCGGCATCAGACAATCCCAAAGCAGCCTTTCCAAAATCCCAAGGACCTTTGCCACTCTCTCATAAGACCATTTCTCGCTCAGCGGCATGGCAGACTCTCTGTGCCATCTCCCTCCTAAGGCTTCTTCACAAAAAGTCACAGAGCGTGGCAAATGGGACAGCAAAAAGGAGTTCATTCTGTCGGTGGCTGGTGCTATTATTGGACTGGGAAATGTGTGGAGATTTCCATATCTGTGCTACAAAAATGGTGGTGGTGAGTATTCCTGTTTACTACTTTCTCTCAGTTTACTAATGGTACCCCAAGCTCAGGTTTAAAAAGTGCAGTATAGTGTCAGAACTGGCATTCAACATTTTCAAAGTCTTTTTATTTTTTAATAAATACTATAGTGAATACAAATATGATGGTACATTTTACACATGGGTTCTTGCCTTTTAAAAGTATTGACATCAACTGTGATATAAAAAATTAAATAAATATATTGACATTTATATTTATAAATAGATGTATTATTGTGTAACTAAAAGTGTAACCACAGTTATGCAAAGTACACTACATTGTGTTTTGAGAAAAAAAACACATGATAAAAAAAGCAGAGGATGATTTTGACTGATAGCATTATTAATATTTGTTGGGGCATCATGAATATAAATATAAATGTTAATTATTTTGGCAATGTTTTCATTTGCAGTGAAGAGCCTTACATTAGAGTATTGGTTTAATAATTGCACAATTGAAAATACAGTGTTTGCATGGATTTATTTTAATACTTTAGTTTGCAGTATGCAGTATTTGAAGTGTGTTGTTTTTATGTTTTTATGATTACTTACCCTGTGTATTTCAGTATCTAGAAACTCACTCTATGATTTTAATATATTATTATAATCAAACTCAGTTTTTACCCCTTTATCAGACGCCTACCCTGAAGGCTAAGTAGCTAAAGTAGATTTTTGCTACTCTCTGTCTGTGTCTCCCTCTGATTCACATCTGATGATTAAGGATTATGGATACGGAGACACCGTACCAAGAAGTTTCATGGCTTTAAGACCACTCTGGCCAACTTTAAATAGTAATTGACTCGATCAAACTCAAAACTTGTGTACCTGTATACGTATCATAAAGTGATACAGGGATTATCATCAAATATGGCAATACTGTAAAAGGCGATATTCAGTATTAAGATTATATTATTATCTAATTTAAGGAAAACTGTTGTTTCGTTCAACAGAAGTTAGTCATAACTTCTCTGGCAACATACGGGACAATGATAAACTTTATTAACCTTCAAGTTGAATGTTACAGTACAACAAATACATTTTGTTAAATGATATTTATATTAACACTTAAATAACACTAAAAGCATAGAGATGGGGAGGACAGTTAAGCACTGACTTAGCAATATATTATTTTTGTTTTAGTTTTTTAATGAAGTTGTCTTAAAGATAACTAAAGCTTATTTTCGTGTGTGGTTTTCTACTCTGCAGTGTGGTTAGGTTAAATGCAGATATTACCAGCTAATGTTATTTATTATATTTTCATAATTTGTCTTCCATCAACTCTTTCACTGGTTTGTTAACATCTTTCAAGCCTCTCTAAAAGTGTCAAGTCGTGTTACCGTGGTTGGTTATTGGCTAATGGTTACACAACCCAAAAAAAACATTATGACATAACAAAGTGGTCAAAATCTGATAAGCTAATTTTTCAGTTTTTATATAAATGGATCAGGACAAAAGAGAGAGAATCATTTTTCCTGAAACTTTCAGAATATCTTTACACCGAGGGGACACATGTTGATGTATAAAAGACATGAAAAAGTAGATTTTGCATAATAGGTGACCTTTAAACTTTCTTGTGGAGAAGACATCTGCTTTTGGCTCTTGTAAAACATACTTAACAATAAACTGATCCTAACTACTACAACAACCCCCATGTTCTCACACTACTTCATAACTCCACCAATCATCCTGTTATTGTTTTGATTTAGAGACCCCTGGTGGCATAACATTTCCCATTGAGCATTTAAAAGAGAAAAAGAACAGTTGCTTGCATCAATTAAGAGAGGAAGTCAAATATCTAAGGAGTAACAGAAATGTGAAAGAGTATGTGATCTTTATGTTTTTTGTATGTGTGCTATACCATGTTAACAGTGCTTTATTTATACATGCAGGTGCCTTCTTCATTCCTTACATCCTGTTCCTTGTGACCTGTGGCGTTCCTCTGTTCATACTGGAGGTATCCCTGGGCCAGTACACCAGTCAGGGAGGAATCATGTGCTGGAGAATGGTCTGTCCCTTGTTGGAAGGTGAGGAATACCTTACAGGAGTAAAGCAGTCAAGACCGAAAAACTACTGCAAAGCATTGTTGTTCACATTTTATGTTGTTTCCAGGCATAGGATACGCCAGCCAAATTATCATTTTCTATGGCTGTATCAGCTACGTTGTGATTTTAGCCTGGGCTTTTCTCTACTTTTTTGCCTCATTCTCTGCTGAGCTGCCATGGGCCACATGCAATAACACATGGAATACAGGTAAATAGAAAGCACTTGCTACGATCATATTTAGTTTTCTAAACTGGTTACTGTTTTAGTATGCAACAATTCATTTATCATGTAGTACTGATGTTATTGAGCAAGCATTTTCAGTCTCTGTTTAACAATACTTTGATATATTTTAGATTCTTGTGTGGTATTGAACAACTTTAACGCCACTGCTAACTGGACCTCGCCTGTGAATGCATCGTCGTCTATACTAGAGTTTTGGCAGTAAGTTTTTATTACAATAACATAGAACTTAATAAAAAAGAATCCAAAAATATTTAAGGATAACAAGAAAATATAACTGATCTACAGATGTGGTATTTTCATTTTTGTGTGGACCAAAGCAGAGCTTTTCCAAAATGACACTATAGCAAACTTTGAGTGATTAAACACACTCAAACTTGTACCATATGGGCAAGACACCTTCCACCTCTATTATGTACTTTATTGGCCTTATATTATGGTATTATTCCTTGCTGGTAAAGCTCTACATAATGTAATCTATACATATACAGTATATATATATATATATGGAGATCGGCACTGAACAGTTGAACTCCCTGACTCATTTAAATTAAAGTTCTTACACACTCAATCTTTCATTTATTTTGGCTGATTAAACCTTTTGTTAGGACACTGTAGATATGTACAGACTGTTTGAAATCTCAATACCTCTTTTGATGTTTTTAGTTGCAATGTGTTCGGGTGGGACGGTTAACACCTCACTCCCAACAAAGCTTCCACTAAATTCACCTACAAAAGAGGTCTAATGAGCCAGAATAATTCCTAATTCCTGTGTGCTGAAGATGTGAAGACCCTTTCATTGCACATTCAAGAATGTATTTTTGAGTAGCTTGCTAAGCTCTCTAACATGAAACCTTTCATAATAGACTTTTTAACTTGTCAATCAACGATGTGACTAATATGGAGTGACTGCATCCATTTGTGATTTCCAAATATATATATCAAAACTTATTTTAATCAGCATACTGTAAAGCTGAGTGTGAACAGTGGAGCTGTTTGCCATTTGATATCCCCTAAACTTTTAGGTCAGTTGGTTTGGATTGCTATAGGAACAAATAATGAGAACTGAATAAGAGTGTAATGGAAATGCTACCTATAATTATTTAACAATACACTGGTCTCTACAGACGACGAGTGCTGAATATCTCCACTGGCATAGAGGTATTGGGAAACATACAGGGGGACCTTGCTTTGTACCTTCTTCTGGCATGGGCCCTCTGCTACTTCTGCGTCTGGAAGGGAGTGAGATCCACGGGAAAGGTAAGACCAGGGTTGGGAGGGCCACTTCAAAAATGTATTCTGTTACAATTACTAGTTACCTGTGAAGAAATATAAAAGTTATGTAACCCTCTATTACTTTTGGATATAAATACCAATTATATTATCAATAATTTTGACTTGAGTAAACACACAATTTCAATCTTTTTTTTAGTCAATGGTTTAACCTGTTAAGCCCCGAGCCTGTTTTCCAGGTCTCAGGCTCGAAAATGACATTCCGAGAACAAATGACCATAACTTCACTTCTAAAAGGGGTAAATTAATCATCTTTTTTCTCAAAGTAATGATAAACCTGTGAGTTGGATGTAGAAGAGTCAGAATCAATATAGATTTTTTTATTTTAAAGTAAATTCAGATTGAACATAGTAAAAACATGTAAATTATAGTGAAAACCACACTTGAATGATGGGATCGGAGACTAAAAGCTTTAGGAATCCAAACTATAAAATATAATAAGCACCCTGTATCAAGATTGATGCAAAACAAGTGAGATTTGACCTTTATAGAGAGGTTTAGCAACAAAAAAAACACTTCTTTGGTCATTTAGAAATGGGTGTATTTGTCCTATCTCTGGCCCCCCTTGGTCGATTTAGATGATTGACATCTCTTTTTAACCGTTAGAACCAATAGAATCGAGGAGAAGTTCCATATACACACACACACAAATAAGGAGTGAGAGTGATGCGTATCAAGAATACCCAAAACAGGAAAGTGCCATACACTCTGGTAGCTCATTAGCTAATATGAAAACTCAGTTTTTGACATAAAAATGGAATTATGGATTATCAGTAATTTTTTCAAAGTGACACAGACAAATTGGATTACCTATGGATTAACCTTCAGCCACGTTTTTCTCGTTTTAATGCTATTGAACACAACTTTTGATCAGAATAACAGCAAAAGGTAAGACATATTGCCGTGTTGGCTACCTAATGCTCCGTGTTGTGATTTTCTGGAATCTGTGGAATCTCAGCTTGCTAGCAAAGCTTGTTTGTGCAGATCCGATAAGTAATAAAGTATTTACCTAGAGTTCTGTGCTAAGTGCGGTAGAAGTTTTTTGCTCAAGGCTCATTTAGACGCTTCTTGTGAGACCTATGTTTTGTTTCGGTAAAAATTGTTCGTATCATCAGTTAGCTGAGTTTCTTCCCGTGAAATGATTATGACACATTCATAGTTTATTAAATGTTAAGAAGCCCTGAGATACAGTTTCGTGAGAAAAAAAAAGCTGGGGCTGGACAGGTTAAATGTCGTTTGTGTTCTCAGGAGCCAGACAAAGCACCCGTTGACACTTATGGTGCATTTCCACTACAGGGCCTCGCTTGGTATGGCTAGGCCTCGTTAGGCCTTGTTAGGACTGGCTCACTTTATGCTGCGTTTCCATTACAGTTTAGTAGCTGGGGCAGTAACCATAGTAACACAGTGTAGGCGGAGCCGTGACCTCATCTTCAATGAGAACCACAGAAAAACAACATCAGCCGTTAGCTGTTAGCTCTCAAGCTCACAGCTCCTCATATCTGTTCAGAAACTAGACAAAAGTTAAACAAGTTCAAGCCACAGACTGTCTGTGTCATCATGGCGAATACAGTCGCTGGTTTATTTATGTCTGTAGGCCTATAGGCCGTTGTTGTGAGTATGGACGGTCGGCGCATATACTGCATTAGCTTAGCCGATCTCCATTTAGAAAACACGCATTTTAAAAGGTTTTTCGCCTGCCGTCTGTCTGCAGACTTGTCAAAGCCTTAATTCATGGTTTTTACTAACCGGTATCAGTATGTTGTTACTTCGGCATCATTTTGTGAAACGTGTATTACAATTAAATCACGGTCAAATATGTTCATTTTGTTGTAGTTGTAGCCCCCTTGCCAGCGATTCTCTCTCTAGTTTAGCATACTCGCGACTCACTCAGCCCGGTTGTTGGCCCGGAAAGAACCTCGATTTTATGGGGCCAGAAAAACTGTGAAATAGTACCCGCTAGCCGGAACTACGCCAAGTGGAAACGCAACCAAAAACGGTTTCACAGTTTTTCTGGCCCCATAAAATCGAGGTTCTTTCCGGGCCAACANTTCTAATACTAAGTTGATATAACAATAACGTGTCTAATGTCCATGACTCTGTTTGCTTTAACGTCAAATCAAGATTGGTCGCTCACGTTGTTCTTGTCATTCACTTTTCATTACATGTGTTAGTGTCTTATTATTCTATCTTACTTCACCTTACTACCCTTATTTGTCACTCCTCCATACTTATGTGATCTATAGTTGTCAGTCCGGACTCGTCACATACCTTGTCACACATACTTATACGAATTCCTATTTGACGATGATTTTTGCCATGCGAGGATCAGTGTTGCGGATAAGCAGTTTAGGTAGGATGTTCAAATGTATTTACTTAGTATATCTGACATTAACAATTAAACACATGTGTGCATTCTTTATAAATGACAAACCGAGTACAAGCCGACTCCGGAGGTGGCGGTATGCACCTTAAAGTTGTTTGCAATCCGCAAAAAAACCGAGAGAAGAAGAAGAAGAAGGCGAAGCAGCAGAAGAAGAAGAAGAAGAAGCCGACTCGGAGCTGTCCGACTTCAGGCGAGCTTTTTGAGACCTCCCCCGGCTGCGATCGGCTATTCTCGTCTACTTTCGAGGCGAGCCGCAACCCGTCTCAAACAAGCCTTATATCTTTTCGCTGGCCTGGGAGCGCCTTGGGATCCACCAGTCAGAGCTGGTTGATGTGGCCAGGGAAAGGAACGTTTGGGGCTCTCTGCTGGAACTGCTACCTCCGCGACCCGACCACGGATAAGCGGGAGAAGATGGATGGATGGACTTTGCTGTTTTTAGTGTGAATAACTTGCATTTATCAAATCAAATCAAGTTTTATTTATATAGCACATTTATAAACGATTTTTGGTCGAGCCAAAGTGCTGTACATATATTAAAAATAGCCTACAGTAGAGACACTTTACAGCAAATACAACAGCACAGATTGTTCAGAATATCAGTACGAGAAAAACGACACCCTCTATCCTTAGAGCTTCACATCGTACAAGGAAAAACTTCCAGAGAAAACCCACAGTTTTAAAGGTGAACAAATGGGAGAAACCACAGGGAGAGCAACAGAGGAGGGATCCCTCTCCCAGGACGGACAGACGTGCAATAGATGCCGTGTGTAAATCGAAGAGATAATACATTATACAGCATATAGACCGAATGTTAGGAAATGCATGTGTCTGTAATGTGTCATTAATGTATTTTTCCTCTCTGTAAGTTGCCCATTGTAAATCGGTTGCCTTCAGCAAAAAGACGTTCTGCCTTTCAACCTACCCCATGATTATTTCAGTGCAGCTCAGTATTTTAAGAACACAGCAGGGGTCATTTCAGGCCTTTGGTCTTTCCTTTCAGCGCAGTGAAACCTCCAGCAGCCTCTGTAGTTTGCCGGTCGTCACTGTGGGCTTTTCAGCTTTCAGTTTTCTCAGCCAAATCTTTGAATACCCAGACCTAGACCTAGACCAGTGGTTTCCTGACCCTTTCCTTAAGGGAACCCATTGGGTAAACGTACGACCCCCCTCATTAGGTGCATTTTTTTATTTGATATTCAATGCATAACAGAAATAGTACAGAATAATTTGTAAACTGTATTTTTAAGTAATAAATACAATAACCGAAGGTAGTTTGTGGTGATGTTGTGAATTTTTGTTTTTTTTCTGATTATTGCAGAGCACTTTTCCTGACTATTATAGGAGCCTTTCATATTCTCTTACGTTTTTTTCAAGTTATTTTAACAGTATCTATTTTCTATACACTTAAAATGATTTTTCTTCCTAACCCTTGACAATTGTTTTATTAAGTCTCTGTTTTAACTGCATACTTTTCTAATGCAGAATGAGGCTGTTTTGCAGAGAGGGAAGGCTCTACAGCAGCTTGTGTTCAGGTCCAGGTTGCCCACTACTCCAAATACTAAAATGGGTTAAATGCAGAGATCAAATTTCACTGTGTGTGCTGTATGTATGTGTTACCATTAAAGAGCGTTTCATCCTCCAATTCTATCTAAATGCTATCTATCTAGGTTGTGTGGACAGGTGCCCAGTGAGAAAAGTTGTCTTAAATTCAAAGTCCTCGCTACCCCTGTAAACCATTGCCTGGAGAGACTAAGCGATGCAGGAATTTCTGTAGTTTTTTCCCAAATGATGAGTGAGTATGAACGTGAACGTATTATAACAATATCGCCTCCAGCACAGTGGCGAAACTACCAGGGTGGCATGGGGTGGCAGCCGCCACCCCTGAAAAGGGGTCTGCCACCCCACCTGCCACCCCAGTCAAAAAATACCAACTGATGATTTATTGGGTAATTATTATTAATATCGTTTTAAGATCAAAACAAATTCAAAACAATCCAAAATCGGTGTCAAACTGCAGAATGTCAAATTTGAAAAAGAAACTTGTTGGTGCACACCCCCCCTCCCCCCATCACGAATGGTTGCATCCATATCGCAGAATCTCTTTGCCTTGACGTGGAGTCAGCGCAGACACAAGCTGTCAGATGGAGTCTGTTCACAGGTGGGTAACGTCAAAGTGTAATATGATTTCGAAACGTTTATAATTCCTCATAGATGGAAGGCGCTGTACAAAATAAACTATTATTATTATTATTAGAGATATGGTACTAGTAACTGGTAGTTTCTGGATGAATATGCTGTGTTGTTATCGATTTCAGAATTAACTACCGAGTGATGAGGCTAGATAGTTATTATGTGGCTAACCCCTAGCTACGTTTTACCTCATGTCACGGTTAGCCACAAGATAGCTTTTGAAGCCAGTTCGGTAACTAGCTAGCTGGCGCTAGCTAACTGAATAACGTTGATAACTAGCCAGCTACTGGCAAGCCTTTGACATTTTGAACTGAAACCAAGTGATGTTGTGGCATTTCATATCATTGTAGTTCTATGAAACGTTCTTAACAAGTTTGCTATTTGGCGTTAGCTAGTA